ATAATAAATCTACCAAGTAGATAAGATCGCATTCGTTGAAAACATAATCATATAACTAATGCTTCTAATTCAATAGAATCATATCGTCGTTGAGTAGAAGATGTAACTTGAGAATGATAATATAAATTTTTTATTTCACCATTAATATTTTGTTGTAATGTACCACCAATACCAATTTCTGATGCATCCGTTGTTAATATAACAGGATAATTATCATTTGGAAAATCAAGAAATAATGAAGAAGTAATTAATAATTGTTTCAATTGTAAAAACGCTTGAGATTGCGAAGCACCCTATTCGAATTTGTGTCTATTTGTTTTTGTTAAGTTTGTTACAGCATGAATAGGTGCAGCAATTGTTGCAAATTTGGGTATAAATTTACGATACTACGGAAGAGCACCGAGAAATTTATTTGCTTCAGCTAATTTAGTAGGTTGTCGTAATTTAATCATTGCTTGAACTTGATCATTGGTTGGCTTAATACCATATTCAGATATCGTATGAGATAAATAATCGATTTGTTGATGAAAAATACTACATTTGACCGGGTTAAGTTGAAAATTATGTTTGAATAAAGCAGATAATACTTATGTAAGATGATTGAGATGTTCTTCAAATGAATGAGAATATACCACGATATCATCAATATAAACCAACGAGAATTGCCGACATGTAGATAATATATCAGTCATTACTCGTTGAAAAGATGGTGGGCTATTCTTGAGACCTTGAGACAGCACATTCCATTCGAAAAGACTATCTGGAGTAATAAATGCAGTTTTAAATTTGTCTTCTTCTTTAATTGAAATTTGCCAAAATCCACTCTTCGTATCAAGTTTGGAAAAAATTTATAACCACCACCTAATAATTGTGTTGCTTGCTTCATATTGGGTAATGGATGATTATCCTTAATAGTAATATTATTTAATTTTTTATAATCTACTACCATTCTCCATGTACCATCGTGCTTAACTACCAGTGATGCTGGTGCTGTATATGGAGAATCAGATAGACGAATTCATCCAAAAAGCAATAATTCTTGTATTCTCTTATACATTTCTTCTTGTTTACTTGGAGTAGAATAATATGGTTTGGATACTGGTCGCGGATGATCAAGTGTTTTAATAGCATGAGGTTTTACATTAGTAGCAATTGTTAATTTACTAGTATCAAATAATTTTACAAATTAATTAAGAAGAGTTTCAACTCTATCCTGTCGTTCAGAATTATCAATATGTCGAGTTAAATTAGTAATGTTGTTATTTACTGATCGATGATCAATAATTGAGTTTCTTTTAAAGAATAATGTAGGAATAGTTGTTGTTCCCAAAATAATTCCTTTTGGTAATAAACATGAGTAAGTTGTTGGATTATGAAATGAAATAGATGAAGTATGATGATGAATAGTTAATGAAGAATTTAACATAAATATAGGTAATCGTTGTTGTAATTTAAAGCATGGACGAAATAATACTTTAGCTGATGATAATTCTACAGATACAGGAACTGTTACTGTTCGCTTTGGTGGAATCCGGACATTATTAATTAGACGTACAGGATATCTTATATCACCTTTATTAATATTAAATTTTAATGTGATACATTTATAATTATCACTAATGGAAACTATTTGTTCTTCTGCATTAATAATTAATTTATATTTATGAATGAAATCCATACCTAATATACAATTGACACATAATTCTTTAACGAATAATGCCTTAATAGAAGTTGACATATCATCCATCATAATAAATAAATTCATTGTACCAAAAACAAAAAGAGATGTATAACCATCAGCTAAAATTATACGACTATGTGATTTATTAATAAATTGCTTATTATAGAATAGATCTAATGCTTTGATTGAAATAAAAGATCGATTTGCACCTGTATCCATCATTACCTTCATTTTTTATTTTTTACAATAACATTAAGATATAGTAAAGATGTATTTAGAATCGATGGATTTCTATGTAAACTATTGGAAGCAACACCGCCCATCGTTGTCTCCTTTGCCTGAAATGGGTACGGATACAATCCCGAGCATAATGATCAGAAGTACCACATTTATAACAACAATTTGATCGTTGTGAATATTGTAAATATCTTGAAGGTTCATAATGTTGAGTCTTTTTATACGAAGTTTGCGTAGTACGTTGATAATTTGGACGTGACTTCGATTGCTCTTATGAAGGTATATTTTGTCGAATACTTTTTTTTTGTGATTTTTGTGAAATAGTTGTTTGTTCTAATGATTTTTGAGTAGTGGTAGCATTGATGTTAATTTCATTTTGTTGCATTTCATTATCTGCAGTAGTAAATGATAATGTATCTTCAATTTTTCTGGCGAACGATGAAAATGCATCACTTGTCTTTGGGTCCTGTAAAGCAACATGTAATTTTAATGATTCTCTTATACCAGCCATTATATATTTTAATTTCAATGAATCAAGCATAGCTGCATCAACTTTCTTGCACAGTTCTATAATTTTATCATAATATTGCGTAACAGGTTGATTAACCGTTTGTTTGTACCATTTTAATTGTTCGAATGCTAATTCTTGTACTTTTGTTGATCCAAAAGCTTTTATAACAGCTTCAGTAAATGATGACCATGTTTTAATCGATATGGATGCTTGTGTCCATCATCGTGATGCATCATCTTGTAGATGTACCGAAATATATTGTAATTTTTTTTCGTCATTCCATTTTGCCATTTTAAAACGTTGTTCTAATTTGTCTAACCAATCATGAATATGTTGGTTTTTTAATAATTTCATCAGCGATCGTTTACTATAGATGTGATATAGATAAAAAAACTTGGAGCAGTAATTGATGGAGCAACCGTCTCTACAGACGTATTATTTTGTTTTTTGATGATGTAGATGAGTATTGTTGAAGAAATAATTTAATAAATAATTCAAAACTGGTGATTAAATCAATATGTTCTACGTAGTACAAATAAGCGTCATTAATTAATAAAAATGGTATAGCTTGAACTTGTTCAAGACGACGTAATCCATATTGCTTAAATTGATTCATTGTTTGTAATAACCAAGTGTGTTATCATCATCTATGCTAGAATATGTAATAAATTTTGTATCAATAAAATTCTCCAACGAAGTTATTTCATTAATGTCAGATAATGGATGATTCATTGATGGAGAATTTATTTGAGTTTTCTGACGATCCTGAATATGCCATTTTGATCGATCACAAAAACATGACCAGCCATTATTAATTTCAGCTTTCGACTGCTCATACCATAATTATTGTTCATCATTAGAATATGTAGTTGCTTGAAATACATGATGTTATGATGGATATTCCAATTCTTCGTATGTTTTATGTAGAACAGATAACCATTGGTCGATGTAAACCATTTCTTCTTCAGTTAATTTATTAATAGATTGTAAAGCCATCTTTTCTTGCTCTCTTAATAATTGTAAATTTGATTTAATTTCCAACTGAGGCATAAGATCACAAGTTTTTTGTTCTTCAACTAATTCTGATGTTGATTGAGGTGTTGACATAGTTGTTAATAAAGTCGGTTGAGATGATGAATAAGATTTTGCCTTTTGACGAACTAATTGAAGACTACTGCATGTTCGAAAGAGAGTATAATATAATAAATCAGAGATATGATGTTCTTGCAAATTTAGTTGTGAACGAGTGCGATTGTGC